CCTCAAATCCAACAAATATTTTGTGTTTATCGGTTAGGTAACAGAAGACTCTGTGATTGCAATGAAGCAATGTTTGTACTAGTGAGTCACCAGAAGCTACAGAGAAACTCTAGGAAAGGAACAGATCTTTAAATTCTTTTAACATAGTAGGCACATGAGAAGGGTTAGTAAACAGAGAACTTGGCGAGTACAAAACTCATATAGAAACACGATGTATGAAACATTCAATTCGTTAGTGAAGGTGTATAGAAAGTATATACCCTCCGTCATGGCACATTATGTATTAAGTCTGTTTAGAGTTTTGACAGATCTAGATGAATTACGATGTATGTCCCAGCTCCAGCTGAAAGGATAGAACTTGATATTCAGTTTCAGTAAGTTCCATTCATTCCTTTTACTTCAAGTGGAGTTTCGAGTTTCACCACGATCTGAACTCCTTGGAGACGCGTGCCTATGTAATTCCAGAATGTTTCTAGAAGCCAAGAGAGAACAATCCAATATTCTTCTTTTAGTTAACCCGGTTATTTTCCAAAGATGTGTTTCTGCGTCAGAGATATGTGTTATTGAATATTTCCTGCAGGTAAGGTAAATTTGTTCCTGTGTTCAAAGAATTAAGCACTACATCATGAAGCCGTATGGGGGAGTGGATGTATAGCTCCATATTTTCTTGACCTCAGCACTCGCTGGAGGCGAGTGGTTAGATCCACGCCCCTGTCGTTTTAACCCTGGGGAAAGAGCCTCCGGTACCCTTTGGATGGGAGGTTTGGCGGACTCCAGAACCGGTCTGGATGATTTGGAGAAGAGAAAAATCTTTACCCTACCGGGACTCGAACTCCAATCCCTCCGTACTCCAGTCGCTATACCGACTGCGCTACCCCGGCTCCTTCCATCAGGTTAACAGAACACAGTATGTTTACAGCCCCTAAGTAAATTCCGTGATAGTTTCTCAAATTAGGCCACTCCCAATTCCTTCCACAACATTTCCAAGTCGTTATTCTGAAACTACCTTGACGCTAGACACTGCTTTATCAGAGCTACTGACAATATTGCTAAAGAAACTGCAAATTAATAGAAGTAGATTAGTACTTAAAGAAACAGTACAGAATTAAAATGTATTGGATCTTCGAGGCAGAAATGGCATTGTGGTCTCGCTTTTTTCTCTGAATTTTTGCAATTTTCTCCTGTTGGTTATTATTCCACCATTACCCTGTTTATCACAGCACCTCGTTTTGTGCGATAAGCCCTGGCCAGGCAGCACGTTATCATAACCTAGGTCTAAGTTACGGTCTTCATATGGCACTTCACTACATCTGAAGTAAAGGAACTAAGTTTTATAACACTCCAACTAAAATTTTAAGGTCTGATATTTTTTTTCTTGGCACTACAGCCCCAGTGGGCCTAGGCCTACCTCCATGAACTTCTCCATTCACTTCAGTTTTTCTAGATCTTACACCTTCGGTAGGACTCCTTGGGCGGGTGATCAGCTCGTCGCAAGGCCTGTGCCTGTACACAAACACAGAAAAACGCACACAAACCTCCATGCCCTGAGTGAGATTCGAAGCCACGATCCTGGCTTTCGACGAAGCGAAGACAGTCCATGCCTTAGACCGCTCGGCTACCATGACCGGCAGGTCTGATATTAGACGTATGAAAATTATTGTCACAGAACTAAAGATCAGCAATATAGGATTTGAGGGTCTCACAGCGATTGTTATGAAGAGTTCTATCTTCTGGGATACAAAGCTATGTAGTCCGTTAAAGTAAACCGACGTTTTCGGATGAACATTTTGCCAAGAATAGTCGCCACCTGCGTTCAAGCTGGTTTCTTCTTTAGCTTAGTCTTCGACCTTGAAACGAGCTATAAACAATCGTCCTATTGTTACGTGTGCATATAGCGGGGTGTGTCGAGCCGTTGCCTGGCAACACGTTGAAGCGTCACAATATCATCAATTCAGTTTCAGACTGTGTGGTGGATATCTGCAAAGCGTATTAGACTTGAAGTGACAGCAGGACTTGTCTGTTCTCGAATTGTGAATGTCAGTACAACTGCTGTGAGTCATCAACATCATCAACATCAACATCAACATCAACTCGATTCAACATAAATAGCGTCCTCGGCTTTATTGCCATTCATAATAATGTATTTGGCAATTTTTGTGCCTCTGGTATCTCCTTTCATCATACCATATATGTTAGTAGGTCTCTATGAACTTTTTGTCTTCTTGTAATCATTCATTCACTCACTCACTCACTCACTCACTCATGGAGCTGAGCCCTTCTTGACAAGCCGCCAATTGTGCAGCTTCCCGAAAACTTCCCAGAATTTTATGCAACCCGAAGGTTTATTACCGTATTCACAAGAGCCCTCCACCAGTCACTACCCTGAGCTAGATATATCCAGTCCATACCATCCCATTCTATCTCTCTAAGATCCATTTTAATATCGTCCACCCACCTACGCCTTGGCCTTCCTAGTTGTCTCTTTCCTTATGACTTTTCCCACCAATAACCTATAGACATTCATTGCCCCCATTCGTGCTATATGCCCTGTAATTCTCTTCCTTCTTGACTTGAACACTCTAATTATTCTTGGTGAAGTGTACAAGTTATGAAGCTCCTCATTGTCTTCTTATAAATCGATTTATTTATATATTTGTTTATTACCGCCTCTCAATCGCCCATCTTTATCCCTTTTATATTCACATAATTCTTCTTGTCGTCTTCGTTGCTCTATGCTTTTTATTCTCATTTCCTTGCAGAATTATATTCCTATTTTCTTACGCATGTTAGCAAAGTTTTAATCAATATGCTCCACACACAAAGTCGTATTAGCTCGCTGGAGTGGAAGTTCATTTTTCGTACTTCTTTGGGGATACGTTTGAGGTACTAATCCAATTTAGGAACTAAAAATATCTGCATATAAGAAGGTATCATCCAGTCATCCTTCAAGCATCACTTTTTTTATCATCTAGAGGTTTGGGATTTTAGATTCGCGTGTATAGACCGAAGGTTCGCAACCGTAACAGACGACTGGTCTAATGCGTGTCAATTCTGACAAAGTCTGAGAAGCTGCTATGGTATATGAGGAAGGGCACAACTCTATATTTCTTGCTCATCGGCTGTGTTCATTCTGGAGGAGTTTCCCGTCAGCAGTAATTCCAAGAAAATTAATTTCCATTGAGCAAGGAATTGGATGGTTGAACAATCATAATGCAGGTGCACTGTGTGAACTTCGCGGGGCACGCTGTAGCGTAGTCGGTTGGAGCACTGTGCTACAGGTTCGATTTCCGATGAGGTCATTGGTCGTCTTCAAATTACCTAATCCTTCCAGCCGCACTATGGACCTGGGGTCGACTCAGCCTCTAACAGAAATCAGTAGCAGGAAGATTCCTGGGGGGGTAAAGGGCTACCGGCGCTCAAGGCTGACAACCCTACCGCCATCTATTAGCCAATTTTCTAGAGAAAATTTGGGAACTTCGATTTCTCACTCCCTTATGGGCCTGTTACACGGACAGTTTTACCTTTTTACATTTCATGCGAACTTCGAGCGAAGTCTTGTCTACTTTTATGGAGATTCCCCATTTTATAAACCATTGCTGCAGAAGTGATGTGTCTTTGCAGTTTCTGCATGACGAATCTGGAGTAGTAATTTTTGGCAAAGAGCGCGATGTAATCATCGAATAAACTGAGTTTAGTGTCTGGTCGCCGATCACAGTGGCCGTGCTGTCTAAGGTATTAGCCACTTTCACTCTCTCGGACACAGGGGCCGTGGATTCGAATCCCACTCAAGCCATGGTTGTCTGTCTACTTTTATTCTGTGTTTGTGTTGTACTATATTAGGTGAGGGTCTTGCGACTGACTGATCCCCAGTCCAAGAACTCCTACCAAATGTCTTAGGATTAAGAAACCGAAGTGAAACAAGGTGCTTCACGGACGCTCTATGCTCCAAAGTGGAACCAATAGGAAAAACAGAGAGACAGATTGTCTGGTCTGCCTGTAATATAATTTGTTTTTACGAGAAACAACGTGAGACCAAGAATATATCTCTAATGGAATTTGTAGAATTCTGTGGTGTGTAAAATACGATGCTGGAATACTAGTAATGTTGTCTGGAATGTCGAGGGAAAACAAATTAAGTATGAGATCTCAACGCCATATTAAATCGAGAAACTGAAATATCGAGACTTAGGCCAATAACTGTTTCTTCATATTCACAGACATCACAAGTTACATGTGTCATACTTCCAGTTTCAGAGCTGTAGAATGGATTCAACAGAAGAGCCTGAAATTCGTTTAAATGTTATTTTAAAATTTAAATTCCTACCTTGCAGATACTACTGCTTTCACATTTAAAAAGAATAGTTACCACGTATTTAATGGCATATGTGAAATAATTGTAGGTTTATCGTGAGAATCATACAAACATCACCTTGCGGCAATAATGCAGAGTTTTGTGTGTAAAAAGCAGATGGCATATGTAGTGACCATTGGTGTTTAAATGGTTAAATAAATATCAGTGCCAACAAAACTTGAAATTTTCGCTGTGGTGATTGTAGTACAGGTAGTTACTGTATATACCCCGTAGTATAGGCTTGTAAGGCCTATCACAGTGGCCGCGCGGTCTAAGACATGAACTGTCTTCACTCTCCTAAATACTGGGTTAGTGGGTTCGAATCCCACTCGAGTAATGAATATCTGTGTGTGTTTTTTCTGTGCTTGTATTGTTCTGTGTGTAGGTAGTGGCCTGTGTCGGGCTGAACACTCGTCCAAGGAGTCATACCGTCTGCATAAAATTTGTTACGAAACTGAAGAAGAGGCCAGGGCCCTGCAAAGGGCCGAGGAGCCATTGATTATTGAAGAAATAGGCTTGTAAGTTGCTATTAACGTTTCGGAGGAACCTATTGCCTTAACCTTCAGGGTTGAATGTATAAAATGACATTGGGGTTTCAGAGAACTCATTTGGAAATTATGAAACCTTTCAACTTCTCTCTTTCTTTCAGATATCGTATAACTCCTGCCGCACCATCAGGTGAGGTCCCCGAAGAAGTGGACAGTGATGACGACGATGCAGACGTTATAACAGGTGTGCGTGACGTCACAAGCACCTCACTGTCCCGTTCCGCGGCGGATCTCCGTATGGGAGTTGCGAGTTTCTGCAAGGCATTTCCGTGGCACTTCGTGATGGACCGCCACCTAGAGATGGTGCAGCTGGGAGCAGGCTTCATGCAACTCTTCGCTCGTGATCTGCGAACCCTCGGCACATCCGTCGCGACGTATTTCGAATTTCGACGACCGAGAGGCATCGCTCTCTGTTTCAATGAGATTGTCAAACGTGCCAATACCCCTTTTGTTCTGTCTATCAGATGGCCGGACTCGACAGCAGAAGAAAGACTTGCTGAGGTAAGTGGGAAGGTCAACTACAATACTGTCCTACAAATAAGAGAAGGCAAGACATTCAAAGAGGGCAGTTCGCAAAGTTTCCTCTAAGCTGGGGTTGCAATTGAGCAAGCCATGGTGTCTCTTGATCAGCAAACTGGTTGCCTCTGAGAGCCCGGAAAAGGGGTGGGGGGCAGTGATTTTCGAAAAACAAGTCCATAACAGATATTAAATTTATAAGCTCTCAAAACTAACAAAATCATATGAGTTTGAATGAATGTATAAGGGGTGGACCGTCTGGGCCCTTGCACCGCGACCACAGTGATCTATTGTACCTCTCCTTCTGATTATTCCCTCAGAAATCCTGCATTTTGAATGAAGCGCAGGATTTTGTACGTGGGGACGTCGAAATAGTCACTTGGTTCCATAAAATATTGACCCAAGTGACGTAATCTTAAATAAGCTAAGGCCTCACATTCACACAGGATGTGTGTGGCTGTTTCATTTTCTTCTAGATACCTCTAACAAGTTGGACTGTCACTTATTCCCAGATTGAAGAGGTGTCCCTTAAGGTGACAGTGTCCTCTAAGTAGTCCTACCACCCATCGTAGGTGGTTCCTGTTTAACTTCAACAGTTCCTTCGCTCTTTTAGTAGAAGGTCCTCGTACGAGTCCCTTTGCTTGCCTGAGTCCAGTCAAGGATCACCAGTATTTCTTGTGCTACATTTTTGTCCAGTCCCTGATTGCCTTTCTGGCAACTCCTATAGAAATGCCACAGGCTGGTTCAGGTCCTATGCACGGATGTTCAGCTCGAATCTTGGCCAATTTGTCAACTGTTTCGTTTCCAGCAATACTCGCATGCACTGGCACCCATATCAGTTGTACCCTGTTATGTTTGGCCAGTTCCATGAGAGTTTGGTGGCAATCCCAGACCAATTTTGAGTTGATCTGGTGTTTGTCAAGCGCTTTAAGTGCAGCTTGGCTGTCAGATAGAATGTAGATGTTCCTGTTTCTGTAGTTCCTATCTAGATTCTCCATAATACATGCCTTAAAGGCATATACTTCTGCCTGGAATACTGTCGTGTACTGCCCAAGGCTGAAACATCATACGAATTTACTTTTAATTTCATTTTTATTAATTCAAGCTCATTTTATATTTTTATAAACTCCTTTATTGACAATCATATACCACAATATTTTAGTTCATTTGCTGTCTTGTGTACAATTAGCGACTTTGTATAAACCAACAAAAGTACCCGGAAGACTGGCTCGTGCACTGGAGTGTGATAGCAGCTGTGCGCGCATCTTGGAGTGAAAATTAGTATGCCGTCTTTGGGATGTGGCGCCGTACACATACTTGGTTAACCAACGTTTCGGAGGAACGTATCGCCTCCATCTTCAGGGTACAAGAAATCCGTGAACGATGACCTAACGTAAGAAGATGTATGTAGAATGTTAACCAATGTTTCGGAGGAACGTATCGCCCCCATCTTCAGGACAGAGATACGTTCCTCCGAAACGGCGTTTAACAAAATATCTACAAGGCACCACATCCAAGAAGACGGCATTCTTCATAGTCACCACCGTGAAAACCTCAAATCTTACACGGAAAATTAGTAGTTCATATGAATTGTATAAACTTAAAACACGCACATGAATTTTGGTCCTAAGTGAAGAGTCGAATTTTCAGGAGTGCCCATTACCACCTTCCTGCCTTGCTTTCTCTTCAGTAAATATACAGTACGTCCGAATGGAGAATTTCTTCGACCTTTAGGCTGAAGATCTTAGCCCGCAAGATCAGAGCCTTTCCAATACTCGATCGGAAAATGTCATAGAACTATTCATAGTGCTACACTGTCACTGCAGAGGACGACATTTGGACTTGGTTTAGCACAACTTGGTGCTTCTGTCGGTAGAATAAATTCTCTGTCCGGACACCCAGTGCACTCAATATAGCAAGAACGGTGTCATGCCCTCGGCTTCACAACACAAGGTCAGGAGTGGAGTGGGGGCAGATACTTTGTAATTTTCACCTATGGCCTCTTCGTAACTTTTGAATTATTTGAAATATTTATCCGCGCGGATAGCCACGACAATTGAGGTGCCTCTGAACATACATACACTACATATACGTACATACGAATTAGGTTAACCGTCACACAACAATTTTTTCTTCCCCTGTGGCGCTACAGCCCCAATATGGGCCTAGGCCTACCTCCATGAACTCCGTTTCACTTCGGTTTACTAGATCTTACACATACGGTAGGACTCCTTGGGCGAGTGATCAGCTCGTCGCAAGGCCTCTACCTGTAGACAAACACAGAAAAACGTACACAAATATCCATGCCCTGAGTGGGATTCGAACCCACGATCCCGGCTTCCGAGCGAGCGAAGACAGTGCACGCCTTAGACCGCTCGGCTACCGTGACAGGCCACACAACAAATATACTAGTTTTTAACGTTTTACAATTCGACTTCTTATTCCTGCTACATGTTTCGGTCGTACAGGACCATCACCAAGCAGTTATACGTGTCGTATTATATACTAACATAAAATTCTTGCCTCAAGTTTGTTAGTATTATATTTAAAGCAGAAGATATTATATAATGTGGCACATTGCACTGGTATGGATTCACATCGGTAGTTCAATAACTGTACGTACTCCTATATATAACTGCTTGATGATGGTCTTGTACGACCGAAACATGTAGCAGGAATAAAAAGTCGAATTATAAAACGTTAAAAACTAGTATATTTGTTGTGTGGCGGTAACCTAATTCCTACATATACGTCTGAAACACACAATAGGATGCAACCAATGAAGATACACATACACAAGACCAAATTTCATGACACTTATCTTGAAGATCCAGCCACAAGAGACTAATATATTTTAATTCTTTTATTACCATTATTTCCACTCGTCAGCAAGACCAATATGACAGCAGTACGTATTGTAGAGGTGGGAATTCCGTTATCGTTCCTTAAAGCAGAAGCTTCAAAATTGTGCGGTAACAAATCTTTGAAATACGAATATACACTTTTATTTTCCCACTGCGGCGGCCCGGGTTCGATCCCGGGTCTGGTCAAGTGGGATTTATGGTGAACAAAGTGGCGGTAGGGCAGGGTTTCTCCGCGTGCTTCGGTTTCCCCTGCCAATCTTCATTCCACCAATTGCTCCACAGTCACCCTCACCTATCATCTGGGGCTGGTACAATAGGCCAGAAGTGGCCGCAGTAGAAGGGACTTAGTCTCACCCCACTAGCATTAAAGAATACACCTTTATTATGACAATCTTTGTGGGGAGAAATGCGTCGATATGGCGACAGTACGATCTCTATTTAGCTACCAGTCCCATAGCTATGTCTAACAGACTGTTGAAGTTCTATCTGCTGGGATACACCGCCACGTAGTCAAGTGAAAGCAGAGATTTCTGCCTGTTTCCTGCTCCTTTCTTGCTTGGCTTACTCTTCAAGCCTGGAGAAGGGGACAATACGTTTCTCTGAGACGTAGGTTGAGTTTCACCGAAATACATGGCGCTATGCCCCAAGAGATATAACTCCTCATAGCCCTTGCTGTGAGAACGTCAAACTGTATACTTTACTCCAAATGGAAACAAGTCATCGATTTATTTGAAATTCGTCTGTGTGCGCCTAGTTGTGTAAATAAGGTAAAAGTAAAGCTGTTCCTCTGCTTATTTAAGCATCATGCCATGAAGGCGTATTGGTGACTGGAAGTAAAATTCCTTGCATGCCAGCTTCATTCCTCGCCAACTTTACTCCCTGAGAAAGACCACCCGTACGAATTGGATGCGAGGCTTGATGGGTCTCATAGTCAGTATTGACCCTATTGAGAAGTGAAAATCTCTCTCCGTAATGGAAACTCGACCTAAATTCCTTGGTCATTCAATCTGTAACCTCGTTACTATACAAGCTGAAGTGTCCCCATTCCCTATTTTATGTTAATTACTACAGACTTGCATTTAAATCATTACACAGTTTTCTTCTTGACAACTTTGTGGTATGGGAATGTTCAGAAATCGTGAACAATTTTTGGAAATTTTGTAAATTTCTCGGGCGAATTTTAACCTGTTTACTTTACTCAGTACTTTAATTCAATATATTATATCTCCTATAATTGATATTCAATATCCACTTCTCTGTTATTACTAATTAGACTTATTTTTTTGTGTGCTCATCACTAACATTGTGTACTTTCCTCTATAGAATCCTTTCGATTACAGCCTCCATTCCAGAAGTTACTTATTGGCACATTCACAAATAAAAGCTACAAAAGTATTCATATTCATTTTGTCATGCCTGTCTGGCTGCATGTATAGCCGAAAAATTGCTGAACGCTTTGCCATGAAATGTTATTTTGGAGAGATCTAAAAGAATGTAGCAACACATTCCAGCTTTGGTTAAAATCGAACCAGAGTAAAATGGTTTACATGCTTTTCTGCATGCATGCCGAGAGATCATATTTATTATCTCATATATTATGACACAGAAATATATTCATAAAAACATTGTAGAGACAAATAGAAAACAAATTCTTTATCCATTGCAGCTTTCCCGAATGTCTAAAATTGTTAGAGATATTGAAACATAAAAGAAGAGACAGCATCATAATTGTTGTCATATGCTTGCACTTCCTAATATGTTGCAAGTTAAAGCAGCCATTTTTGTGTAAAAGCCATAACGAATTCTTTGTATTCTCATATTCATGTCATTCGGCTTTCATCATAAAATTGTTTTTAGTAGACAAAGAATCCAAATAGACCAATATTTTCTTTTTCCTATTTATATTGTTTTCCGCTTACTCTCTAAATATTATTCCCTTTTATTATTATCATTATTATTATTATTATTATTATTATATCTATCACAACGATTTATCCATTTAGTACGTCAACTGCACATAATTACACCTCATAATTCAAATGTTTTCTCTTCATCAATTTCAATTATGGAGGTTGAGTTCCCCACTTTCATGTGTCCCAGATTTAGTCAAAATCTAACTAC